TTAATACAACTTACAATCATATCAAATACTAAGTCCTTATTCAAATAAATATAATTATACAATATTATCATTTTAAATACTTTATTTATACTGATACCTATATATCTAAATATAAGGTTGTATTATGTATATATATTAAACTATGTAGGTATAGTTTTATATATTATATATATTATATATAATAAATTTTTAAAGTAATCTATATACAATATACTTAAATACATATGGCTAGAGTAAATATACTACACTAAGAATTTTTATAGAATATACACACTGCAGCGGTGGCGGTAAAATTCTTTTGTCTTGGCGGTGGCGGTAAAATTGAGTCCGGCTTCATTTTGCCGTAAYCGCCACCGCCACCGCTCAACATTATGCCACCTACCGGCTACCATACCAAAAACTCTCGGTGAAAGTCAAACAAAAAAAATAATATATATTATTATATATTATATTTTAAGTACCATTATGATATTATTAAACAATTGTGGCCTTAAAACTAGTATATTTATCATGTAATATTTAATCTTATTAAAAATTAATGTCGTATGTTTTGTGCTGTTTAAAGAGTGAACTGTGATGATGCAATCTTCTGTYTTATTTACTTTAAGTTATTTAGGAGAAGAATTTTTCAGGCTAATAACCTTGAAGCCATATTTATAAAAAAATAAAATAATTGTTTTAAAAATATACGTATAAATATCTAAATGAGCGTGGTGTAAGCACTGTGAGGTACACCCAATACAAATTGCACTCGTCGATCATCATAGTTTAGGTTTAGATAATCAACACGAATGGTTAAAATACTCGTATATAAAATATAATATAATTATACAATTTTATAGGTACCTGCAACTTACAAAATAATTCAGTAAAGAGATTAAATATTACCATATATAGTTTCCTATATATTATAATGACGCCGGAACTGCAGTATAACCAAGAGTTTGTAGTCATACCGTAATTTATTATTCGTCTAACACCACCTCCCTTGCAACTGATTTACTGATGTACCTATATAGTTTTCAAAGTATAAACATAAAAGCGTTGCGGATAAAATACAAAAATTCACAACATAATATATTATATACCCATTGGTTATTAATTTATTATATCATAATATATTATATATAACTATATGTATACAAATTTGGGGTATTTTCATAGAGCCAAGTTAAGCCATATTATATATATTGTCACCCTATATATAGTTGAAGCAAACATTTGCAAGTGCCTCCTCCTCCTAACCATATTACGCCCTGCTACATATATTATTCAGTAATACCTATAATGACTGTACATAAGAAAACAATGTAATTTTAACTGTCATATTTTTCAATACAAATGTTAATTTTATCATAAAAATGGTTTTTTATTTTTTAAACAAATAATAGATTTTTGTGTAGTCAAATATTTTTTAATATTACATAAATATACAGCCCTATACATGGGTAAATATTTATATACATTCATATCTTTGTGATCACCAGTGGCGGATTTAACGGTCGTTTAGTCGGCAAATTCCGACGAGGCCCCCTCCTTAATTGTGTACTGAGGCCCACTTAAATTATGTAATTGATTTTTTTTTTAATTTTGACAAAAAAAAAATTGTATATTGCAAACTGGGATATAATTTACTATTGTTTTATTAATAAAATAATTTAAATATTTAGAAATACTTCAATAGTTCAATATRTACGTAMATTTAAGTTATTCMACATTCTCAATTCTACGTAGTGGACATTGATCACAAATAATATTATTTATAATAATTCATTAAGATCACTGATCACTATCATTCAACACAAACGTGAAACTCCATATCAGGCACCCCACATCATAGTTTTGACCCTAGTATAGAACTAAATTCAGGCCCCTCATRAATTACAATTMATTTTGTAACATTTTTCTATTATATATTTATATTATTAKAGTAATTATTTGCATAAACGCCGAGCCCCTCGAAAGTCCGAGCTCCAGTACTATGGGCCCTCCGACCCTCCCCTTGTGGGGGGGGGGGGCGCTGCTCCATAATTAAATAGGTAGGTTTTATATTATATTATAGACTCAGCTGGCTATTATCTTAAACTTATAAACAATTATTGTGTTTTAAAAAAAAAAAACTATGGAAAATATACTAGGTTTCCTCTTTATAGGTATAAGTACCTACCTATATATTCTATATTTTACAAATAATACATAATATATAATACACTTACCTATATGATATTGATATATTATAATATAACAAACAATGTTGTTTGTATAAGCATATAATATTATATATAGGTATATAGCTAGGTAGTGTAAGTAATATAATTATAAAAATAGTTAACTTACTGAAACTAATAATAGTCCTTACAGTTTCGTATTATCCACCAACTTTATATTATATGATATTAAAAAGTAAATAAATCTGAGCTCTCAGTAGGTATAAATATAAATTCAGCGGGTATAATAAGTAAGGAAAAAATAAGTGTGGCTTATATATTAGATCAATCAATGCTAATTTTTAAATTTTTATTCCAAATGTGTTTTATGGAACTTAATCTGAAATTATCAAAACATTGAATTTGTTTTTTTAAAAACAAAAGCCCCGACCTATTCATTTTTTAAATACCTAAAATAATTTCAAATACTTTTTTTTTTTAAATTTTAATCACAGGTATAATAATAATGGTATATAATTAATAATTATAATCATTATAAAATACATGTTAAACGACCTGTGGAATAGATATACCTATCTTAGCTGCAGTTAAACGCGTATAATAGTGCCTTGAACCTATATTTCAATGAAAATAAAATCAATATAATATAATCACTTATAACAACTTTTATTATAACTTTATAAGGTTACGGGAGCATTGTTTTACCTATGTAAAATACCGTAATTTATAACAAAAATCCATGGAACCAATTTTTTAGTATAATATATAACTATCATCTAAAAAACAATGACATTATTTTCATTCTACATTTTTAGGTTTAGTGATGTCATAAAATACAGTGTGTTTAATACACACATTTTGAAAAAAATTAAATACTGGATATAAGATTAATAATAAACTGGTTTAACTATATTATATATATATACCTATATGCTGAATAAACATTCAAATACTTAGAAATAATAATTGAAAATTATTACAATAAATTAATTTTGTCGGAAGATGTATATATTGCATGTTGTACCTAACAATAATAAAAACGTTATTAGAAAGTAAGGGGGAGAGTGTTTTACTTTATAATTAAAATATTAATTATTACTTTTTTCAGCTTTGTTTTATTGCAAACATATATATAGCCTATATATGTATAATATAGGTATATGTGATATATTATGATGGGTATATTAAATAAGCATTCTGTTTTAGATCTACACATGAATGGGTGTATAAATATAGACAAAGAATAATATATCTATGATAGATAAGTATATAACTATTTATATTCTCAGGATATTTTATATTTAACTTTCCCTAATGGTCACACCTTGGCCATATTAAACACTATACCAAATAGAATATATTATATTTACGCCATTTGAAATTTGCCGCAGACTAAAATGTATAGAAACTCCTAGTATGCAGGAAAAATATATTATAAGACTTTTTTATTATTAATTCATAAAGGTATATATAATAATCAGGAATATATATAGTGAAAGGTATATATGTGCCATGTGCGCGGGTAACAATAGTCTATTTGAACACTGCACATATACCTCGGCCAATTTTGCATTTGCCGTGATGCGTAAATAATTACAATACCTATTGAATATTCTGTTCTATAATATTCTAAATATTTTGTTTAGCTGTATGCCTGTATATATAGGTTAGGTATATAGGTGCATCACAAAATTCTATAAAAACAGCTAGGGTACCTATACTAGCTGCAGCGTAATATATACTAATAAATATAGATGATGTGTTAAATAATACAATATATAGATACTATATTAATATTATATTACATGAAGCCACCTATTTTTATGTAAAATATAATTTTTAAACAATATAGGTACAATGATAGCTCGTTATAATTATTTATTATGATATTTATATGTATAAACACGTTCAGTGCGAAATAACGGAAATTGTTACTACTCCGACGCTGCAATTAAGAAACGAATCGGGTAATTCTATACGAGACCGTTAAACACACATCACACATTATATTACCTATATGTACAGGTATACAAATGTATTATATAGCATATATAATATGTATTATGTTCAATATATACACACATAATAATATTATATACGTATATTGCATGTGTTAAATTATATAAATATCATAATAGGTATTACATAAATGTTACATACTATATTATAATTTTAGGTGGGTATATAATGTATTATATATGAATGTAGGTATATAAAATATGAATATATCGATAAAATATATAGTGAAACGAGCGCTCTCTATTTTCTTCTGGTGCGGATCCACGTCTTCGGTCGGCGGCCTTTAGGTATAGCTCGTCCACACGCTGTAACATCACTATATACCATATGGGCCCAAATCGTCTACATGAAACATGACGCGGTGTGGGGTGCGGTGTGCGGGTGCAGTTCGAAGTGCAGGCGGGCCGAACATCTGCGGGTGCGCTGGTGGCGGCGGCGGCAAGACAACCGACCGTGTGTGCGTGTGCCGGCGGCGACGTGACTGATGTGGGAAAAAAACGAATGACGAAAAAAAACCGTCGGCGGCGGCGGCGGCGGAAAACCCGTCATCACACTGTCGGGTGGGATTGAGGTGACGACCGGTGGCGACGARGCGCCGAACCCCGATTGGTCGTAGTCTAGGCGACCGTGGACCGAGGGAGTCGCGACGCAGTGTCGCGGGCGTGGCGCGCTCACAGCGCCGCCGTCGGACACCGTCCAATGCGCGAGCGCACCTCGTAGTACCACCGCACCGCGCTTCCGGCACACAACACTGCCACAGCGGACGACACCGCCGCGCGTGCGCCGTACGAACGCTCGCACGCACTCACCGGCACATCGAATTATTTTGTTCGACGGCCGGCCCCACCTCCTTTCGCGCCCCACCACTGACCCGTGTACGAGTATACGTGTTTTGTGGGTGTGTGCGTTAGGTCCGCGTGTGTGTGCGTGTGTGTCCGTCGACCGGGACCGTGACCGGGCCGGCGGGGCACCACACTCTCACTCGGTCGGTTTAACGACGGCAGCAGTTTGCCGCGATCAGCCTTACCCGAACGTACGTCATAATATACGCGAACACATCGTAATAATACATTATATACCTGCGAGCAAATAACGTACGCACGCACACAAACACATATCATGTCATTATTGTGTTCGGTACGTCACGACGTAGGTATATAATATATTAGCCGCGAACCAGATAATAATATACAACGGTCCGTTGATCGTTACCGTGTGTCCGCGAGCCGGAGAAGCCCGCGCGAATTCACCGTCGCCGGTACGTATTTGTGCGCAGTGTTTGCGAACCGCGCAACGATAGAGTACCTATACCGCGCCGTTTTTTGCGAACGCGACCACGCACCGAACGGTACACATTTATTGTACGCACCGTGTTTAGTGTCGGCAAACCGGCCGCCGCGCCCAGAAAACCATCACAGTCTGCTCAAAGACGATCACAGCGCGACAGACGTTCTACAAAACCGTACATATCATAGCGTATACGCCGCCCTACAGTCGCTGTGGACAAATATTATGTACGATTGTCCGCCGTTACCGTCATCGACGCATTCTCTAGCGCCGCCGTCACCGTTGTCGCCGTCGTCCCTACCGTYAMGATTGCTGTCCTGTAGTCGCCTCTGATATTTTACGTGTTTGCAGCGCGGGTGTCAGCGTCGTATAGTGAAGTAAAACCGTCCGCGAGCACCCGTGACCATATAGTTACACCGAATAGGTACGATATAATTTTTATACCAATAAACAGGTTAAACTAAAAACGCCAACTATGACAATGCTATCGTCGCAAAAACTTTTGTACTCGGATACGGCGACTGCAGCGGCCGCGGCCGCAGCTGCTGCTGCCGCTGCCGTCAACGCGGCAGCAATGTATGGCGGGAATTCGTCGACCACCGGCGGCGGCGGCGGTGGTGGCGGACCGTCGTCGACACCATCGCTGTGTTCGCCACCTCCACAGTCACACCACCAACAGCAACAGCAACAGCAACAACAGCAACAGCAGCAGCAGCAGCAACAGCAGCTCGTATTCGGGAGCAGTGCTTCGGCCGCAGCTAACATGCAACAGCAACTGTACGGTGGTATGAATTCCGCCGCAACGGCAGCAGCGGCTATGTACGGTTTGAAYGCGTCGGCCGCCGCTGTTGCTGCCGCAGCTGCTGCCGCTGGTGCTGGAGGCGACCCGACCGGCGCCGCGAACGCCGCAGCGCTACAGCGGGTTCGCGCCGACAAGACGTACCGCCGGAACTACACGCACGCTAAGCCCCCGTACTCGTACATTTCGCTCATTACCATGGCCATACAAAACTCGCCGGTAAAAATGCTCACCCTTTCGGAAATTTATCAGTTTATTATGGACCTGTTTCCTTTCTACCGGCAAAATCAACAGCGGTGGCAGAACTCCATCAGGCACTCGCTGTCGTTCAACGACTGTTTTGTTAAAGTGCCTCGGACGCCCGACAAGCCAGGTAAGGGTTCGTTTTGGACTTTGCACCCGGACTCTGGCAACATGTTCGAGAACGGTTGCTACCTACGCCGGCAAAAGCGTTTCAAAGACGATAAAAAAGATGCTTCGTCTATCCGGCAGCACGGCGACGGCGGTCACCACCACCAGCACCACGGTGGCCACAATCACTCAAAGAGCTCGTCGCCCATGCTACACAGCGGTGGTAGCCAACACCAGCTCAGCGGTCAACATCAATTAAGTGGTGGCCATCACCATCAACAACACCATTTAGACATGGTTCTGGACAAGAAACCGTCGTCATCGGTACCGCCGTCGTCGGCGTCGTCCTCATCCGTACTCGCCGCTGCTGCTGACCACCACCACCACCTACTTCAACTACAACACCACCATAATCAAAAACTAAGCGCCGGTGGTGGCGGACTCATGTCGTCGGCCGCCGCTGCAGACTTGGGATTCGGTGGTGGCATGCACCATCAACACCAACAACACCAGCAGCAGCAGCAACACAGCAAACACCATTTGCTCCTGCATCACCACCATACGCACGACCACCAAAACAGCCACAACAACGGCAATCACCATGACAGTGACCACGATCACGTGCACCACATGCATCATCACTTACAACAACACGGTGGTGGTGACGATGACTCATCGTCGTCCATGTTGGTTGGCTCGTTGCTGCAACATCACCAACACCAGCAACAACAACATCAGCAGCAGCAGCACCACCACCAGCAGCAGCAACACCATCAGCAACAAAATAGCCCGGTAGACATTTACGCCGCGGCTGCGGCTGCCGCACATCACAATCACCAACAGCAACAGCAGCATCAGCAGCAACAGCAGCAGCATCATAGCCACCATCAGCAACTGCAACTGCAACAGCACCTCAAATCTTCAGCAGCGGCTGCCGCGGCCGCAGCTGCTGCCGAATTCGCCGCATCCAACCATCCATTTTCAATAACGCGACTGTTGCCGCCACCGCCAACGGCTTCGGCTGCTGCTGCTGCGTCAGCATCCGACAAACCGTCGTCAGCCGCATCCGTGGCCGCAGCCACCGCGTCGTCCGCGACGGCCGCCTCTGCCGCCGAGAAAATGTACGAAATGGCAGCGGCTTCGCAGTACGGWACCACAGCCGGGTATAACGATTACTACCACCCACACGCTCATCCACATCATCCACATCACCACGGCCATCCACATCCACACCACCAGCAGGCTTCACTTTACCACGCGGCAGCGGCCGCTGCAGCAGCCGCCGCCGCCGCAGCAGCCTCCGGTGGACCACAATCATCATCGTCGTCCGTGTCAGGCGCTGCCGCCGCTGCCGGATCGTCGTCGCCGTTGTGACATCACCATCACCATCAGCAGCTTCAACAGCACCACCAGCACCAATACCCGCCACTCGTTTGAAAATGGCTCGGTCACCGGTGGGCCTGCAGCAACAACAGCGGCACCAGCAATAATAGTAATTATTGTAGCCACGTTTTATGTTTAATTTTTCTTCGATGATTTCCAAGCGTCTGCCAAACGCGCATGCGTGATCGCGATAAACATATGATATACATAATTTTTATTTTATTTTTTCTAGTAATCTCTCGAGTACCTTCTACCTATAAACTATTATATTATACTCATCATATTATGTGTTTGATATTATCGTCATGTTTCGTTTTTAGATTTATTATTATTATTATTATTCTATTATTATTATTATTATTATTATTATTATTATTATTATTATTATTATTATTATTATACGTGTGTGTGTACAGTATATATTTTATGTTAGTGTGTACGCGTTTAAAAAATTACAAAACGACCTTTTATGTTGATATATATATATATATATATATATATACAAAATAGTTATGCGATGCGATGCAAAAATTGTTGTGTATGTAGTAGCGTTTTCCTCCCGTTTGTACATATGCATATAATATATTATATATTTATATATTTTATACGTTTAAAAGTATAACATATGTGAATATTGTGAATTATATGTATATTTTGTAAACGTAGTGAGCTGTATACTAATGTGTATAATATATTGGGCGCTCGATAAGTGCCAATATATATAATATAGGTATACGTCGGGCAACTTACGACTGTCTTTGCCGCTTGACCATAGTATGTTAAAATAATTATAGAATTAATACATAATATATTATATAAATGTACGTTGAAAATAGGATTTTTTTTTTATGTTACTATTTTTCGTCGTCGTCGCGTGCGCGGCGACAGCGGTGTTGGCCGGGTTTTTAAACGACGCCGCCGCCGTCACACTATATTATACTATATTACAATGTACGCGTACGCACAGCAAACTGTTGTACTTTAAGTATTTTTTTTTATATGCATATATATATATATATATATATATACAAAAATACAATATACTTATACATACAAATACAATAATACGATATATAATACTCGTATGTACGTGTATATTTTGTAATGTGACTATACCTTGTCGCATTGCGGTCGTRTCCTATAAATACGTATACCGTGTACCTATATTTTACCTAAATAATATGTATATATTTATATTATGTGTATATTATGTTATTATAAATATTTATCATGTGTACGGTTTTAAGTAAAATAAATTCAATTTGATATGACAACATTTTTAAAATTTATACAGGCGTGCTATTTTCAAATCGTGTAAAACTATTATCATCTCAACGCGCTGCATGACATGTCATGGGTCTTAATGGTCTTATGCCACACAGACACAGCATACCTAATATGTTACGTCATGTACCTATATGGTTATGTATAGTGTATAATATTATATTATACTATATTATGAATACTATCTTATATTTTACATGATATATTTGTATTGTATAATAATAATAATATATAATAATGTAAATTTTGAGTTTTCGAGTTCTATTGAGTTTTTACGAGGAAAACAGCTAATTAAACTGCACATGTAATTGTAGTACCTATATATACACGCGTAATACCTATATGAAATATGCAGAATATTGCAGTGTATGCGCGTGTATCGGTGTTACATATTATATTATAATATGAATTTGTGTAGGTTAATCGCAATAATAGTTGTGACATGTAACGACAGTTTTAGCATACAATTTGCTGGGAAACCGAATTCGTTCCGACAACTCCACAGAACCTGTAACCTGTGAGTAGAACATCATAATATTTAACTGCTATTACATATTGTGTTTATAATTTTATTATATATCTTACACAAGCCTTTATAAGAAATTAGGGTAAAACCAAAAATGTTCCTATTATCACGCTTCCCTGCGGCGTATATCAACATTATAATATTGATATATATATATTTACTGTATCATAGGCTTAAACTAAAAYACATATACTTATTTATACCTATACAATATTCCTTTGCAGTACCTACCTATAAATATACAATAATTCTAACTAATTTCTCAGACAGAATTATTAAACATCTGCAGACTATAGCACTAGCGCGTATCATAATATATTTTAATTTTTAAAATTTATTTTATCAATAAATCACATAATTTGTGTTAGCTTCGGTATAACAAGCTAGCTTGCAGATAGCCACAATGATATTATGTTCATAATAATCATGTGCATTTTATACACGCTCATCTGYATCTACTATCACGAATCAATGTACAATTATTTAGCTTCATTAATTATAATTTATAGCCACGTATTATAATTTATTTGTCCTCTTTAACTATAGTATAGTATATTAAACGATAAAATATATATACTAATATTCATAAATACCTACGACACATAGATTCTTTAGTTTTGTGTAGGTAGGCTTGTCTTCTGAAGTACAAAGTAAGTATATAAATTATTAATCATAGTTATCTAAATACGAAAAAAAAACTTATTCTAAATGTTCTATTTAGTATTTACTATATATACCTACATAGACAGGTATTATAGGTAGTTACATATAAATTACAACATTATATACTTAATACTATTATGTACCTATACGTATAAATGTTGTGCAATTCTCTCATATTCCAAATTTTCGTTTTATAATATAGGTACCTACATAATTATGCATAGATACAAAATACATKGAAAATTAATATAATATGTCTTTAGATCACTCTGAATATGTAATATTGTAAATAAAGTTTAAAACTTAAAAACAACCATGATATACCTATTACGTACATAAAAATTAAAACTGATTTTTTTTTCGATTTAAAATCCTACAAATATTGAAAATATATATAAGGTATCTATATCAAATATCAGTTAAGATATTTATTATTCGTTAATATTTAATTCAAACAAACAACTGTTGAACTTTTTCGTGTCGTAAAAAAAAAATATAAATATATTGATAGGTACCTACATACCAACTGTTATATTTATATCATTCGTAACAATTACTTATTTCTATACGGCATTATATCACTAATTCGTGGAAAATTATTATAAAATACCATGAAAACTTACTTTTTTTATTTTAAATTATTTTGAATAWAGTTTAAAATTTTTCTTCGAAAGAGACATTTAAAAGCAAATAGTTTTAACAAGTATTCGAATAACTTGATACAACATTTTATTATTCAACTACAACTCTTATAATTTAATGACTATTATTACCTGTTCAAACAAATAATTTTAAAAAGACTAATCTTAAAACTTATAATATTATATACTTTATTTAATAACTGTTGAAATTATATTAAATATTCATTAGTACCTTTTACTATAGAAATGCTTGTTTATTCAGTCTCGATAAATTCAATCGATGATATTTCTATTGATTTGTTGAATTGTGCAAAATTTATTTTAAATGTAAATTTACATTCTTGTTCTCCGAAAAAGTTAAATCTCACTAAAGATGAAATGTAATATATATTTTAGATTTTAAAATGTTGGCTATAATATAGGTATTTGTAGCAGGTAGATAGGTTAACTATTTGAGACCATTTTTTTCAAATGTTAACCCATATTTTTCTGCGGGYACTTTAATTGTTAAAAAGTTGAAGATTTTTTTAAAGATTTCTATGTATCTTTATAATATGTCCTTTACATAATGGGTCTCTGAATAAATCAAAATTTGAGCGAGCGTTTTCTGATTTATAAAAGGTTGTATACATATTAATATATTATAGACACTTAAGGTAATAGCTATATAATAATCGCCAATCGGTTAATAATATCATGTAGGTATCTATAGAGGCTTAGATGATTTGAAAATTAAAGTAGTTACCTGATGATTATATATAACAGCTAGTCTATATAATTATTAGTTACTTATAGTATATTAGCATCTAAATTATAACATTTTATAATTTATAAAAATATAAGTTTAATAATGAGTTTTAGACTTAATATTATATATATTTTATATAAAACCAATACTAAGAAATATTATCCTCAATAAACAAATTTTAATAATTTAGGAACTATATACCCACCTACTACTGTTTGAATTTTTATTTAAAATCGTTAAAATTAAAAAACAATATCACTACTAAAGTACTAACTTAGTTAACTTTTTACAGTAAAATAAAGTGATTTTTATTTGAAAAAATCAAGTTGCATCACTATAGCGCTGCTTAAAATGTAGATTACTTATATAACAAAACTAATTTGAAAATATTGACTTAAGATACAAGATAAAGTTCTTTTCCTAGAATAAGAATTTTGAGTTAATGTCGCATTACTAAAGTAATAKTCGATAAAATGTAAGCATACTTGACGAATCATTATTAAATCACTCTGTATATATATAGGTATAATATTTAATTATGTATATATATCATTCTTATAGGTAAGTGACTCTAATTAATAATTATAGTTAAGTAAAATTATACCAATATGTATAAAACTTTAACTATTCATGCATMMCAAAAGAACATTTTTTTATAATCAGATACAATCAATATTTGTACAACAATTATCAAAGTCCATACCTAACGTGGGAATAAATTTTATTATTTAAATAATAGTGTGGGAATAATAATTGTCGATAARAAAAYAAAATGATATGGTAATAAGTATGTATGTGTGGAAAAAATTGCACCGAAAGACTATTTTAAGGTCAAGTTATTAATATTGATCTTATTTAAAAGAAAAATAAGTTTAAAAGAATATAAGAGACCAACATGTTATAAGAAATCAAACTATAGTTAATAATTGTACATACGCAGTGTTTTACGACTTTATAGAAATTTGTGTAATTCAATTATCTCGATAACGATTAACGAGATGGGAGTGATATCGTAATGAATCGTCATAACTCATAATTATATTTAAATACACATACAAAACAACAAGTGTTGATGTAAATGATTTGTCGATAAATCATAAATAATATTATTTTGTTTCAACTCGGTGCAGCAGGGTTGTGGGTTTTTACGACATTAATAACTACGATGTGTTAATTATTACTTTTTTTAACGCATAATATGCATATAATAATTACCTACACGGTAAATTTTTCTATGATACCAGTGAATAGTATAAATCGTAACTATATAATATAATGCGTACAAACAACTAATAAATATTGTGTCATTAAAATATTACTAATCGTATTATTTTATACACCATCGTACCGACACGGTTAAATTATACGCGTGTGCCTCATCGTAATGTATGGGCAGTTAATAAATACGGATTTAACGTTTTATCGCATTCTATAATATAATTACAATAACACATCATA